CTTCCCTTGATCTAGACACTATACTTCTACTGATGCAGCCTAAAATTGTATATCTTTACTCCTCAGAATCTTTTCTAGTTCTTTCATGGCTGTCCTTCCCACTCCTAATCTCCTTCTGATTTCTTAGCTGCACTCTTCTTTCTGATCAATGTTTGATCCTAGGTATGGGAAATCTTTAACTATTTAAATTTCCTTGTCATTTAGGTTTAAATTAAAATGGATTGGCAGAGAAACCTGAATGAAGGGGCTATATTTGCTGGTTGAGAAAGAGACCTGGAGCTGGATCAGACCCACCTTGAATAAGGTTGTGAGGTTTTCAGTTGTGTGTTTAGGAGCAAAGAAATGGGGTAAATTCTTTGTAGCGTAATTTCTGTATTGCATTTCCTTCTATTATTCTGTCCTTTTTATTTCATTTTTATTTAGGGCTTCAAGGTTGCACCAAAGGTTGCAGAAATACTGAGCAGCAAAGGCATAAGAGTCCTGCCATCAAGTCCTACACAAGCGCCTCATGGGATGCAGGGAACTTTGGGGATAATGCAATGTGTCAAATTTAATGTACAATTAAATTTATATAATGTATAATCAAAATATATATATTGAGATTTAAAGTACAGTTGTGTTGCAATACTCCATTATAGTATTATAATGTATATAGAATCCAGACCATTACTACAAGAATTAGCATAACTAGAATGTAGTTCAACAAACAAAAAGAACATAAAGTTTATTTCGACTTCAATTATTGTACATTTGGCAAACATAAAGAAACTCATATAGACAGTCAACAAGCTGTGTGCATAAATCTGAGGGCACTGAAATATATAACTTGGGATCTTTTCAGGAAAGATCCTTTACTCTGTTCAGGCCCCTTAGTTTGCGGGACTTGTTACCTCAATCTTCTGGGTCAAGCTCAGCACTCTTCAGAAATTCTGCATTAAAGTTGTTAATTTTGTACTTGCAGATGAAACGATGCTTCACTTCACAGTCTTCATCATTCCAGTACAGGTAACCTAGAAAGCGAGAATTAGCATCTGCTATAGCCCCATAGAATCAT